TTAATGAAATCTGTGATTGGAAACTTCTGAAGCCTTTTAAAAGCAGGGCTGCCTTCCCCTAAAAGAAGAGTTTAAAACAAGGTGTAAAAAGACCAGTTGAGGTATTCCAGTTAAGGCAAGCTTAAATAATAAACTTAAAAATGAGTCATATAATTAATAACAATAATAATCTCACCTTATGTTTGTGTCATACTTGCCAATTATAAAACATTAATACAGTTATATTATCTCATTTTGTACTCCAAAAAATTGACCCAAGGCAAGAATATTACTATCATTATTATAAAAACACACACACACACACACACACACACGATTCAGATAGATCAGGGACCTCTGCCCTAGTGTACCGAAGGCTGGAGCCAGGTGTACAATATTCTCATGCAAGCAAGTTTCTATCTTACTGTGGCCCACCCAGATCAGCACTTCAAACTTTATAATCTCCCATAGAAAGAAAAGGGATATATTATGGTCTAATTCAGTTCTCTGTGATAGAAGAAAATTATTTCCGGTGTCCCTACTATCTAGTCAATTAAGAATTGGTTGATTTCCACTTAGAATACAAAAGACTCTTTGATAATTTTTTGGCACATTTTACTCTGCATTTTATAGTCAAATCGCACACTGAGAGCATTCAAAAATTAAGATTTGATTATAGTGGCTGAATGTCATTGGAATACAAAAAAATATTCACAAAATTTCATCAATGATTTTGTTTCAATTAACAAAAATATTGACATATGATTTCTATTAAAAATACATTATGAAGTGTTAAAATTACCACCATTCCAAGCTTAATGTATGCATAGATATTAAATCCTTAAGGGAAATTCCAATTCACCTGAAGTCTAATTTTTTTTTTTTTTTTACAAATTATTTTTGCTCCATATTTTGACATTGCACCTAAATTCTAACTCTTTTGCACCTGGAATATAATATTGCTTCTCTTACACTGTCAGGAAAAGTTATCTTCTTGAATCCATGAAGAAATGCTAAAAGCAAAAGCCTCAGCAATTTTTGTGAAACCTCACAAAATCTTTGAGATGGAATAAATCAAGTTAAAGGAATTTAACTCAACATATTGGAAGAGGGAAAAGAAATCTCCAAGGGCTGACTGGTTATTTTTCAAAGTCATTCGTTTTTAATTAATTTTGGTTTCAGCAAAGAAAATATCAAGAAGCAACCTTAAAATATTTTAGGCATCCATAAAAACTGTTTCAAAAAATGCCACATGACTGAGAAATGCCCTGTATCAAACACCATGCCATTAGGTTCTCCTAACACCTGCACCAAGCACAGGAGTTCACACCAAGAAACTTCAATTTATATAACAAATATTTTTTCAGAAATTACAATGATGATATTCTATAGCAGTTGTTAGGATACATCTTGTCTCAATAGTTATTAATAACAAACATATTTCCCTAAATAGTTTCTACTCAGTAAATTAAATTTGTTTTACTTACAAACTAATTGTGTGTGCATTAGAATATGTCACACAAGCCAAACTGGATTTTTTTTTTAATTAAGCACATCTAAACTAGTTTAAGGATTGGTTTAGAAGAAAAAGACTTTCCTAGCTATAGTTAATTTCAGTTACCTTCCAAATCATTAATGAGTAGGACATCAGTTAAGGCTGTATTATGTTTGCTATGCTCAGA